AGCGCCGACGAGCTTGGTTCTTAGAGCTGGCTTGCCGGCGCTGGCGCAGTGCCCTGCCGAGTGTCGTGTCTCACTTGGGGTCGAGCACGTGGCGCCCGTCCACCCGCCGGTGGAGGTGCAGTTGCAGGTGTTGACGCCCACGCACACCCCTCCGTTGGCGCACGGGGCCGCGGCACACAGCCCGGCGGCTGCAAAGGTTGGCGCGGGTTGGTTGACAATCAGCGGGCAGGATGTGCTTGCAGTAGCATGAAGGCACAACAAGCTGTCTTGGAGTGGCGGATTCATTTGGTGCCTGAATGCCGTGATGTTTGCGCTCAGTCCCAAATTGCCACGGCTTCAGTTTACGTTGGCGGGCAACCATCTAATGCCAACGCACTTGGGGTTGAGCATGTGGGTCCGGTCCAGCCGCCAGTGGATGTACAATTGCAGGTGTTAGGGCTTGAGCACGTTCCGCCATTAGAGCATGATGGGTTGCACACTGTTTGGCGGCATCGTACAGCAAGGATGTGCGAAGGCGCCCAGCCATATGGCAGGGGTAGGTATGACATCACTGGTTCCGTGTTCTCTTAGGCCGCAGCAGGCAACGACAGCATGGAAAGCGTACATGTCACAGGCCAATTTCAAGAACCAGCGGTACCATGCGACTGCAATTGCCTGGCGGGTCGGGGCTTTCATGGTCCATGCAGGTGCGTGCCCGGGCAGCATGTCGCAGGCTGGTATCTTACATTTTGACTGAATCAGCTTGACAGCGCGCTTTGCAAAGTGATGTAGCGGTGCCCCGTCAACTTACCTGGTGTGTTGCAGACAGTCCCTGTGTAATTTGTCCCTGTACAGTTGCAGCTGTTGTAGGCAGCGCACGTCCCACGGACGCAGGCAGGGCTGCAGTCTGGGGCCCGCGTAATGGTCACACACCTCTCTTGGGTGAGGATCAAAACAACGCCGACTTCGACGCAGAAGCGATCAGTAAACCCTGCGTGAGGGTTGCCAACATGCAGCGCCTCAGAAATCAGGGCTCTGGTATGGATTGGGTTAATTGCAATGCGTGCAGCACCAACCCATGGCAGCGCAGGTCTGTTGTGCCGCGCAGTCTTCCTTGCCATACTGTGGCTTCCACAGCACCATGTGATACTCGTCTTGAGTCCATGCACCAAGTGGGTTGCGGGCGCCTGGACAGCAGCGTCGGCTTCAGCCAGCCGCCCCACTGGCGCTCCCCGGTGCTCTGTGCACTGTAGCAGTCAGGCATGCGCACCGCCGAATGACACCGCTGGGCCTGTGTAAACGAAGCTGCCAGTCGACTGAACGACGACTGACCCCAGCGAAGGCTGGACTGTCACTCGGTTGACGCGCAGCCCGAGGAGGCCCAGAAGGGGGCCCAGAATGTCGATGAGACTGGATCCAGCAGGGCTGTTGAATACGGTGGCGTTGCTGGGCATCGTGTAGCTAACGCTGCCATCCAGCTGGATGAGCTGCAAAAGCCTCCTCCCCTGCACAATTGCTGGCGCCGAGTCCAGTGGCCACTCGCTCGCTGTGTCCGCCCCCCAAGCAGCAGTGGAAACGGTTGCGGTGCCACTGCTTGGCGCCAGGCCCGCCGCGCGTACAACGGTCACCGCTGCCACAAGCCACAGCACGGATCGTGCGACCAACGCCGCCATGATCGTTGATGATGTCCAGCCACCACGGCTGGATGAGGAGGGTCGCGATGTCTGAATGAAGGGCGCGGCAGGCAGCAGAGCCTTGCTCTTGGGGACGAATAGCGCGTGTACTAATCTCGATGGCGACGCCGCTGTCCCTACCAGCTGGTACAGGCCCACTTGCTTCCGTGCAGTGTTCAGGAGTTGCGCACTGCCACAACAGGCGCACCCCCTCCGCGCCTTGTGCAAACGCTCAAACTCTTGCACTTGGATGGAGAGGCCAAGGCTCACCCGTAGCTAATGCAGCTCTGACGGCTGTGTTGTGGGCCTGGCTTTTTCGTGCACACCCAAGGCTATCAAAGCTTCGGCCCCGGCGGTGTAAAAGTGTAGCAGTGCCCCCCCTGCGGCGCACGGAACGGTTCAGTGTGGTGTGCTGGAAGTGGATGCGATGCTTGCCACGCCCAAGAAAAGACTCTAGTGCGATGATGCGATCGCACGGTCCTTCTTGGAAGAGTTCGCAGTGACTCGCGACCCTCATGGTTCGTGGTTAGTTTTGCCCGCAGAAGTGGGACCTTATGCGATGATGTGAGTCCCAAGGGTCTTATTACTGTTTTAAAGGGACAAAGATGCCATGCACAGGCATGCCTTGCGACACATGCACCACGTCAAGGAGGCAGTCCACACAGACGGCTGGGCAGGCTTTGACCGCTTCACAGCTGCTGCCGCCGCAAGCAAAACAGAGTGCATGTCGCAGGTTGCTGGCGTTGCTAGCACCCGTTTAAGAGCTCACAAACAACCTCTCAATGCCAGATAGAGAAGGCCGGCCGCTCAGAAGTTCGCAGTCCACCCTCTCGCACCATGCGCTTTGTAATGCGATCGCAGGCACAGCTTGGCGAGCAGAGAGCCCTTAGTCCTTGTGCCGTCCACCACTGCACCAATGACAGTGAGCAAGTGGGTGGTGAACCTATAACCTCCCATGGTACTCGTGCAGCAGCCGTTGCTTGGCGCGCTGATTGGCCTGGTGCCGCTGCAGGCGCCGGCAGTCGCCGCCTCCATCCACGCCCACTCGCTCCGCATGCGGCTCCTCATCCCAGTCCTGCAGCAGCAGCAGCAGCAGCAGCAGCAGCAGCAGCAGCAGCAGCAGCAGCAGCAGCAGCAGCAGCAGCAGCAGCAGCAGCAGCAGCAGCAGCGGCAGTGGCGGCGCCAACACCACAGACATATACAGTAAGGGCTCTGAAGGATCCCAAGTCCACTTGTGTATCTCGCACACACCAGACTTTCCAACGCACCTGGATTAGTAACGCTCCCCTGGCATCCAGTCTGGTGTTCTTGCGATTCCATGCGCAATTCGTTGCACAGCTGATTGGAGATTGCGCTGCACAACAAAGCTAGGCCGCTGCTGCTCTCCACACAAGCAACACCCTGTTGTGCTTGCAACCAGACTTGAACCGCCAAACATGCCCATGCATCTCAAGTCACTGATTTTCAATCGGGGCACACAGACAAAGCGTTGTGCCGCCAAGCCGGGCTTGTCCCACCCACCAGTCACTGGCAGGTGGGGCAAGGTTGCTGCCATATAATGCCCACACACGGCGAAATGTGGCGAGCCCTGTGCACCATTTCCCGTCACACGTCTCAATTGAGGTTTGGGACACTAACTGCTGGATGTGTCGCACAAGACAGACTGCTGCTCTGTGAGTGCAGTACAATCTTGCAAGCGTTTGATGGGACCCAAATAGTGCCCATGTGTCTTGGCTTGCATCACAAATCGCAGCCGCCGGCAGGTGTAACTCATGCAACCAGCAATGAAGTCCCAGATTGGGAAGATGCAGTCCTGGGTGCACTACAGCAAGATTCACAGCCTTATCTAGGTTAGGCTCAAAAGCCCTGCCTCTCACCCTCCACTTCTGGTGGCCGTTGATCAACTCCTGCAAAAACAAGCCCACCGCCATGTGCGGCGTGTGCTGAGTGCGGCCGTGAGGGATTCAGGGGTCTTGCGCCAGGCGAGAGCCCCGCTGCGAAAACATCGCAGCACACGCCGCCTTGAGGGTAGGTTTTTGATGGCTACTGACTGGGCAGGTGGCTGGGGCTGTGGGTGGGTTGATCCAGCGGCAGCTTGGGGAGGGCCAGGCAGGGCAGCAGCCTGCTGCCCTGCCCTGCCCTGAGGGCAGCAGGGCAGCAGGGCAGCAGGGCAGCAGGGCAGCAGGGCAGCAGGGCAGCAGGGCAGCAGGGCAGCAGGGCAGCAGGGCAGCAGGGCAGCAGGGCAGCAGGGCAGCAGGGCAGCAGGGCAGCTGGGCTGCGCAATAGCTGGGATGTTGCATCGATTTGCATGGTGGCACGTTCCCAACTGGGGCCTTGAGCAGCAACTGCAGAATGACTTGACCTGATAACATCTCTTCAAGGGGGCTGCTGCGGCTCTGTGGCAAGCCTACTGAGGGGCATTAATGTTGAGGTTCTGGCTGGCGGTATTTCCCTGGTAGCAATGCTCTCCAGCCCGGCGGAGTTGCCGGCCTTTCTCGCAGGCTGGCCGCTTTCTGGCAGGTCGCAGTTATCTGGGAAACAGGATTCCACCCAGCCCCAACGGCAAGGCTCAGGCGGCCTGTGTTAGTGTTAGTGTTCTCTTTGACCAGCAGTTCTACGTATTGCGGATCAGATTGTCAGCTAGGCCTGTGCAATCCTGCCCACTCACTGGAAAAGTGTGTCATAATTACTTCCGCGGGGCTGCAGGCGCATTCTCCACCGAGGGACACTCATGAGCAAGTAAGGAGGGTCCGCGCACTAAAGTCTGCTAAGCGACCAACCAGGTAGCTGAGCACATGCAAAGTCTTGTAATCACTCGGTCCCAGGCCTGAACATACCCACCAGAACCTGCAGCATCCCGCCTGTCTACCAGACGCTGCTCAGGGGGGGGGGCACATCAGGCGGTTGTTGCGGTCACAAAGCAGCCTCGTCACCCGAAACGCAGGACCACGAAGGATGTTGTTGGGGGCAGTACCCAGGCGCGGGATATGAAGCAACGAGTGTGCAGTCAGATGTGCACCTGGCCGCAAAAGGAAGCAGCGAGACGATGTTTCGTCGGAGAAAATGCTGTCGTTGAAGCTCGAAATCGTGCGTCCAGGTTCTTAGTTGCGTATGCAGACATGAGAGTTTAAACAGTACAAAAACGACCCCATGAACCACCCCTCCCCTGTCAACCTGCCCAAGGCAGCATCAATTCCGTGATGACCTTGAAGGCAGAGGCACTCTACCTCAGCACTGGAAGGTGTACACGTAGCTGGAGCCGGTGCTGGGTGGCATGCGGACCTCCTGAAACCCATAGTCTTTCCCATTGAAGGGCCACGGCCCCGCCTTTCCCTGCCAGCAGCGGCTGCCCGCCTCGCAGGCCCGGCCGCCGCGCTGCTGTCCGTACACGTACACGATGCGGTTATTGGTGCGCCCCACGTCCGCCGTGAAGCCCGGCGCCACGGTGATGAAGCCGGCCGTGCGCCAGTCGCCTGCCTTGGCGTCGCGCAGGTGGACCAGGGCGTCCAGGGGTGCACCCGCACACTTGTTGCGCAGCTTCAGGAGGATAGACCCGGCGGGTGCGGGCGCCGGCGCCGGAGCGCCCGCCACCGACAGCGAGCCCGCGGGCGCCGCGGCGCCGTTGGCGTACGCGCTGCGCCAGTCCGTGCCCTGCAGCGCGCTGGCGCCGTACCACCCGCCCAGGGCCTGCTGCTGCACGATGGACGCCTGCTGCTGCTGCGCCTGCTGGTTGTTCTGGGTGTTCTGCACCAACTGCTGGTTCTGCTGGTTCTGCTGGTTCTGCTGGTTTTGCTGGGCCTGCTGGGCCTGTGTGGTCTGCGCCACCTGCTGGTTCAGCTGCCCCTGCGTGTTGGTGGCTCCTGCCTGGAACTGCGCGGCCAGGGTGGAGTCCTGGTTCCGCACCACTGTGACCCTGGTGGCCGGTGGGGCAGACGTCGCTGGCAGGGGTTGCAACGAGGGCTGCGGCGAGACGCCGCCACCGCTGCTGCCGCCGCCACTGCCACCACCGTCGCTGCCGCTGCCGTCCCCGCCGCCACCGCCACCGCCGCCACCGCGCCCTAAGCGCTGGGCCAGGCCGCCAAGCAAGCCGCCGTTGGTGTTACTGACCTGTATGTTTGTGCCACCGCCATTGCGGCTCGGGGCGGAGACCTGGACCGATGGGACGCCGCCGCTGCCGCTCCCGAACCTCTCCGGGCCAAACGAGCCCGGCAAGTCATTGCTGCCCTGACCAACGCTGCTGCCCTGGCCAAACCCGCCGCTGCCCTGGCCAAAACCGCCGCCCTGGCCAAAGCTTCCACCCTGACCCAAACCGCCGCCTCCAAACGCGCTGCGACCAAACCCCTGCATGAAACCGGGCCCCCCTGTCCCAAGCAGGGGGCTGGGTTGGGTGGCGAGCATTTGGGACCCAAGCAGGCTGCCGCCGCCGCCGCCACCCCTGAAGCCCCCAAAGCCGCCGCCGCCGCCACCACGGAATAGCTGGCCTGCGACCAAGCGGCCAGCAGAGGTTCGTGTCAGCGCTCGCAGCCAGCAAGCCGTGGCGGGGCAGCAGAGCACCCAGGGATGTGGCGTGCCCAGCGGCCGCATCCGTGGGTGTTCAAACAACATGGACTCCTCCACCGTGTCTAGAATTCACCAGGAATGCCGGCACAGCAATGCAAGCCACTCCATGGCGCGGGTGGGCCACGTTCCGCCCACTAGTGACCCAGCTGCACGCGGCGGACGCCCACCTGCTGCTGAGGCGACCAGCAACGCTGCGGCCACGAGGCGGCACGCGGATTTGCGTGGCGGTGATATCATCCGTGCACCCTCTCAGCGCAGCTGCGCATCCACCACGACGGGCCGGAGCACCCTTCCCAAATCCCGTTGCACTTGTGTGAACGCTAGAGTCGACTGCGGGGTGAGAAGGGTCTGAGGACGACCACGAACGTGTATAAAATACTCCTGTTTACGGCTGGTACGTGCAACGCACACATGTTGTGGCAGGTTGTTGCGCACGGTGTCGGGAGGGGCGTTCCCCGCAGCTGAGCGGACGCGCAAGAAGAGTGACGTGTCGCATTATGATCGCTCCGCAATGTACCGCACTGCTGCCTTCTGCACACAACCAAAGCACCATTAGGTCTCCAATGGAAGACCCGTGCTCCCCGTCCCATCAACGCTCTCCCCGCCGCACTCATTGCTGCACTGCACTCGCCCTGAAATGGAGAGTGTTGTTACGTTGTTACAAGCGTGTGCCGCCCGTCCCCTTGCGCATTGCGCATGACACGCAGGCGCGATGCAGGCGCGGTGGGGTGTTGCGAGTCCACAAAGCTTGGGATAGGACTTCAAATTGATCAACCCAGCTTGCGATGTGCTGAGGCCGTGCGCATCGTGTGCGATGCGGGCGACGCTGGCGCTCTGCTGCACCAGCGGCATGAGGACAGTGTAAAAACTCTCCAAATTGTCGCGTTTGTGCATGCATGTGCTCAAAGGCGCGAGCAGGACGTTGAAGGAAGATCCCACAATGCTCGCGGGCTTAGCCCTTGCCGAGGGTGGACTTGTGATACGCTCTCAACATGTCTCGCGTTGAGCGGCCGGCCGCCCCCGCGCCCGTCCCCGCACCCCCACCGCCAGCAGCCGTGCTCGCTCCAGCCGCCGCGGCGGCGGCGGCCTCCTTGGCCCTGCGCGACGACCACAGCAGCCAGCACCAGAACGCGAAGGCCGCCACGTGGATGGCCACTAGCACAAACACGAGCCCCTCAAACTGCGGGCAGCGTGTTTTGAGCACGGGGAGTTTGGGTTGGGAGGGGAAAGGGACGAGGACATTGCGCGGCTGCGCGCTCCCAGGTTGCCCCGTCCTCCAGGTCACATGTTGACCATGCAGCACTACAGGAGCCGGCCGTAATACATGAATGCGATCGCGGTGCAGACCAGGGGCCCAGCCGCAAGATGCCTGCTGCGCTGAGGACACGGGTACCCATGCGGATGCCCAGCAAACCCGGCGGACGTGACAATGTGTCTGCAGGACGCAAGGGACGGGCACACGCCGCGACCTTGCACGCCCACCCCGGCCGCCCCAACCGCCCGCCCACCGAGCCCGCCAGCCCCCACCTGGTGCCAGGCGTCCTGGTGACCCGGCTTGATGGCCGTTGCTCCCAGGCCCTGCGGCAGCACCACGTGGCGCGGCGCCCCCATCACTGCAGCCTCACCACCGCGGCGCCGGCCCCAGATATGCGTCGCCGGACAGGGGGGCGCGCACTGTCCTCTGGGTTGAGCGCCTGCTCGCGCGCCCGCCTCTTGTAAATCCCCTGATCGGCTGTGCTGCAAGGCGCAAGCCAGCCCAAGGTCAATTGCGTGATTGGTGAGCGGCAGCATCATGGGCACGGGGCCAAGGGCAGGGCGGAGGGTCGGGAGGGAATGGTGAGTGGCGAGAGCTCGCGCCGCCCCTGCTGCCCGGCCGCGGCGTTATCGCCGTGTCCTCACATTCACGGCTAGGCCAGGCTGTCTTGGAAAATCATGCTAGGGCGGCTGCGGGCTCCTTGCCCCCGCAGACGGATCGGCCCTTGGTGCCTGACGTGTCAGCATCCGTAAAGGACGAGCACGTGCGACAAGCAGAGGGCTTGCGCAATGCGCACCACAAAGCCGCTGCTGCTGGCCCATCAACAGGCTGGGCAGCAACAGATGCGTCGGGCTGCAAGACACGGCGCAACGCGGCGCAGCGCTTCTGTACGCACCGCAGCCTGTCGTGCGAACCGCAGACGAGAAGGTGTGGCGGCCGCGTGGATGGAAAACGGTACAGTTTCTATCAAACTTCTGTGACAAGGCACAAAACCAAAGCAAGATCGGAGTGCGACGGTGAGTTGGCAATAATGCACGTTCTGCTGCTCGTGTGGTACAGCAACAAATACTTTGATATATCGCGTGTGTAGCTTTTTCCAGCCTCCTCGCTGCCTTCGGTGCGCTGGATAGGTACTAGGAAACCGCTCAGTGCATCGGTGTACCCCTCGCTTCGCCTGGCCCCTCGCAAAGCGCACCACAGCGACCCGCAGTATCATTAAGCCTCGGTGGTATTAAAAATTCAGCAGCTCGCGCCCGTTGATGGGCCGTCGGGCCACGGAGGGACGGGCGATGCGGCAACAGCAGCAGCAGCAGCAGCAGCTGGAGCTGCAGCGGCCGACCTGAGCGCAGCTGCGCCCGGGGTCTCCGCAGCGCCTGCGCCCGCCGCTTAAACGGGCGCATCAGGTCGTGAGCCCCATGTCAAAGGCGCCAGACGAGAGGATCAGGTTAGGGGACGAGCCGGGCGCGTATACTGGGGAGAGGCAAGGTAGCCATGCCGGAGAGGACCCGGCAGCCGGGCAGCCGTGCGGCCGCTCTTGGCTGGGCAGCAGAATGGTGCCGTCCTGGGCACGCGTGAGCGGAGGCGCACGGGGGAGCGCCTCGCCTCCTCACAGTGCGCCCGGCGTCGTCATCCGCGCGCAGGGTTTCGATCCGGCTGCGCCCCGTCAGCCGCGATGAGAGCGAGGCGTTCCCCCCTCCCTGGCCTGTGCTGGCTGCGGACGGGCAGGTCCGCATCTATGCCACACGCACCCCACGGCAGGGGACTGGGTGAGCGGCGGCACAGGGGCAGGGGCACGGGCCGGGCATGGGCCGGGGGGCGGGGGGGTAGGGTGAACCCTGGGGCGGGGAGGAGAGCGACACAGCAGCCGCAGGGCGCGGAGCCGTCTTGGGGGCCGCATAAAGAACTGGGCGTCCCTGTGGGGCGCGAGATGCCCGAGAGTGCCCCAGCGGCGGCGGGCCTGCCACCAGGCGCCTCGGGCCCCGATCAAAACCTCCTATCCGATAGAACCCGCCATGCCGCCCCGCGCTCATGCCCCGCCGCCAGGGAGAAGCTCATCCCGAAGTTTTCTCTTGCGTCATCGGGCGGAGGGTGCGTCCCTGTGACGCCCCGGGGGCCGTCGCCTCACGGCTTCCAGCTGGGACGGCCGCCGACGCCCCAGCAGCAGGGGCAACAGGTGCAGCAGGGGCAGCAGGGGCAGCAGGGGCACGGGGCCGCTCAGCAGCAGCACCAGCACGGCCACCACCAGCGCAGCCCGTCGCTGGTGCTGTCGCAGCAGCCTGGAGCTGAGTACCAGTCGTATTCATTTGGTGCGCAGCCACTGGGGTTGGAATGTGTGCGTGTGCGCCTGTGTGTGTGTGTGTGTGTGTGTGTGTGTGTGTGTGTGTGTGTGTGTGTGTGTG